TACAAAGTCTAGACTTCAGAAGTTCAAGTGCGGGGTTGTTGGCAGTAAATAATGACTTCCTGCAGGGTGTGGTAGGTGTCTCTCTGGGAGTCTCATGAGAGATAAGAATGCTTCGGTGATGGTGTTGATTGGACTGAGCTGAGAGATGCTTGCAAAACTGAGAAAGCACACCTCTGGCTGTGTGTGGGGGAGGGGGGTGCAGAAATGATTGGCATGGGGACAGCCACTGATGGAAGAGACCCAGCCCAATGAGGGGTCTTGGCCAATCAGATGGAACCAAAGCAGAAGGAGGAAGAAATCCATCAGTCCTTGCTTTTTGACTCTTCCCCTCCCCTCTTCTCTCCAGTTCTCACCAGTTCCCTCCTCCCTCTCCCCCCACCTCTGCCACCCCAGCTTCCTAACGCACATGAGCAGCCTTCCTCAGCCTCCATGTTGTGTCTGCCTCACCTAAGGCCCACAGCAGGGAGGCCAGCTCAGTCTGGCCTGAAATCTCTGAAATCATGATCCAAAAATAAAAATAAAGCTTTTCTCCTCTAAGTCATTTTTCTCAGGTATTTTTTTTTTTTTTTTACTAAAACAGAATGCTAACACATCTCCCTCCTGAAAAATGCACATTGTCACATTAACACAAAAATTTGCAAAACACAAAAGCTTCAGGGGGACCACAAATGCCCAAAAGCCCACAAAATGACCCTCAGCTCTTCCACGAGTCCAGGATAAACTTCAAATTAATGTCTATGTTTCTTGCTTCTTAATTGATACACTTTTCCTTTTACTTCATCTTGCCACCGATTCTTCCTATAATGTCCCTTGGTTTGGGATGGTCTACCTAAAATTCTGCATCACAGCTTGCTTGCTTCTTGATTCTCAGGCCCCTCTCCTAAGTTGTACAGACATTTTTCTGGCACTCCGTGGCGACATAACACTGCTGTAACACATAAACTATGCCACCGCTAAGAGCCAGCTCTGAAGCCAGACTTCAACATTGCTGAGTGGAATTGAGTTTTGAAAGCTGAAGATCTTACCTGGCCTTATAGTGTATGAAAATGTACTCAGACCTAAATATGGGTAGATTTAATAAATTCGGCACGCAGGTATGGCCAATAGCATTAAGATGTCTGCGACAGAACTTTGTGAGAACTTTAAGTTTAATTCATATATACAACTGACGAACAGTGAACAGTTGGAATAGTTGTAATATGAGCTGGCCCAGACCCTGCATTGCTGGAACTTTCACTGAGGACAGACAGAAGGCTGCTCCGTCTTCTGTTTCTGCACAACTCTTCCTTTCGCTTGGCCTTTCCGAGCTGTGATCTGTTTTAGACATTTGGATGTAGGTTGGAGGCTGTTTATTTTATTGGATGAAGACCCTTGTTGGGAAACACAAATACAGAAAAATCAAGAGTCCCAAACTTGGAAAGTACATCAGGGATGAACTTGTCACTCACACCCTGCTGTGTTTTCCAGAAAATGAACTCTACAAAGGGGAATTGTATGTTGAGAGTGAGTGAGGGTCAGAAGGTTTTCAGTGGACTGTGTTTGAGAAAAGTTTGCTCTTATGGGAAAGTTGCAACTGTCTGTCTCTTACCTAAATTCATCAATTGCTCATATTTAGAAAAAGAGAGAAGGTGAAAGAGGAAAAAGAAAAAGAGAAAGAGAAGTGATGGAGAGAGCCATGCACACTGGTAAGAACTGGTCCAGATAAGTATGAAAGCCAAGAGGGCTTGCACCAACTCTGCATGCCGGTGTGTGACTCAGTCCAGAGGATGCAATGGTCTGGGAAGTAGGCAGGGCAGACATCGGGGTGCGTCCCGGTCTGGATTTGAAAACCTAAGAACCAGGGGCACTAATTTTACTACAGCAGGGCAGATGGTGTCCAGCTCAAACAGAGCACAACTGCCTCTTTGCTGGTGCCACCGCGTGGTTCTCACTCTGGCCCTTGGTGAACAGGCTGAGGCCTCCCACCTGGGCAAGGCCAGGTTCTCACTCAGCCCAACCCCTGTGCAGATGCACCTGCTCGGGAACAACCCCACACTCCTGGAGGGAATATTTTGCCTGTATCTGGGGTCCTTTCATTCTTCCAAGTTAGCAAAAGCACACATGTCCTTCACAGAATTGGTCGGTCAAGAGCTAACCGTGGATCAGACAGAGTTTAGGCTGCATTTCTGTTTCTCTGCCTTTCTTTGTCTTTTATGGCACTGACTTGTTATAAAGCCACACTAGAAGGTCACACGTGATGTCTCTCATCCAGTAATAGTGGTACTGACTTTGCTTATTGTTAATGTGGTAACCACCGAATCTCTCCAGTAAAAACTTACCACTATTCTGCCTTTGAATTAGTAATTAATCTGTAGGGGAAACTGGGACCCAACACATATTCTACTCCCCATCACACCTTACTTAGTATTTGGGGAATTCATGGATGACATTTGCCAGAACCCATTGTAACTATGGCTGTTACTCTCTTTTCCTTGTTTATGGGCACTGAACTCTGCTACAACTTGGAAAAAGTCCTCCACAGGCCACTGTGGTAAATGAAGACGTGGTCTACATGGTGCGACTTGGGGAGCAGGTGTGACCTGTAAAAGACCGGACTCAGTTGGAGGTCCATTTGGAGGCAGCATGCCCTCGAAGGGGCACTGGGACCTTGATTTTGATTTCTATTTCTGTGAGGGAATGCTTCCAGGAGTGAACGCTTCTGCTGCTGTGTGTACCCGCCATGAAGAACCGCCTCAGCACCAGTCCAAAAGCAATGGGGTCCAATGACCATAGACTGGACCCTCCAAACTGTGAGCCAAAATGAGATTGCTCTCTTTTTAGGTTTTCTCACGTATTTTGTTCCAGTGATGGAAACCTAACTAAGCTGCACTCCATGCAAGCACATTCCACGGCCCTGCATTCTGAACTTATGTGTTGCTAAATGTATTTACTTACTTAGTTTTAACATGGACTATGGACTCTTACTATGATTTGGGGGAGGGTCAAACTGTTCTGGATTTGGTCAGTTGGAGCATCTTCAAGTTGGCTGTGGTATCCTTTTGAGATATTGCTATCCTTTTGCAAGCACTGCCTTATTTTCCGACCCAACTAGATGTTCCGGATTCATCCTTGCGGTTTCCTTGTCCTGGCCTTAGAATAAGACACTTCTTCCAACCAGTCTTGGTTTAAGAATTGCATATAGAACTGAGGGCTGAGTGTTTGTCTAAGTCTTAATGGTGGCCTCTGTTGTCTTCAGAAACTGAGCAACCTGCTTCCCGTCTCCTGTCCCTGTCAGCAAAGACTCACGGTGAGAGGAAGTGGCTTATTTCTTCACGGTCCGTTTGTGTGCTTCTTTGATTACTACTGCCTCTAGTCCTGCCTTTAAATCCATATAAAGCAGAGCTACTGTTATTCATGCTGTAATAATAAAAATAGGGGTAGGCAGATAACACTTCAACATAGTTTCAGTTCTTTTGGGGAGGTTTTAGGGGTTTTTTTTGTTTTGTTTTGTTTTGTTTTGTTGGTAGTGGGAATCAAACTCAGGCCCTTGTGCTTGCCAGGCAGGTACTTTATCACTGAGCTATATCCCCGATCCCTGGTTTCAATTATTTTGAGTTTCCCAATGGGACAACTGAATCTCATGTTAGATCTATTTTTAATATATTGAGAAATATCCACATTGTTTTGCAAAATAGTGTACAAATTTACATTCCCACCAATAATGTGAGGATTTCCTCTTCTCTACATCTTCATGAAAACTTCATCTTTTGAAATTTTGTTTTTTCAAAATAGAGTACAAAATAGTATTAAAACAGAAGAAATTATGAATGATGCAGCTTCACTAAATGAAAATGATATGCATTTCACAGTACTGGTTGTGTTGCATGGTGTTCTCTTCAAATTAGTTGTTCATATTACCAGATATATACATGCAAAACTGGAAGAAAGAAAAAAACAATTATAAGTAATTAAAAAGAAAAAACTGAAAAAGAAAACCCCCAACATTAAGCATTAACATTACGCATTACTTGAGCATTTCCACACCAGCAGAAAGTCACAGTACAATCATCCAAACCAGCCTGCGTAGACACATGCTTCTCTCCACACCCGTCCTTCTCCTGATCTCAGTGATTCTGTCCTTTGAACAGGTTCATTCCCTTTGTGTAAAAACTTTATCTTTTACCTTACTCCTTCTTTCTCCACTTTATTGATAATGGTCATTGTAGCAGATGGTGTGAGGTGATGTCTTGTGGCTTAAATATGCATTTCTCTAATGATTAATATAGATAAGCATTCTTTTAAGAATCTGTTGGCCACTTGTAAGTTCTGTTTTTGAGAAATGTCTATTCAGGATTCTCATTTTTAAATCTTTATTCAGCTATTGAATTGTCATAATTCCTTATATATTTTGGTTATTAACCTCATACTAGATGAATGGCTTGTAAATACTTTCTTCCCTCTGTGGACTGTCTCTTCACCTTGTTAACTGTGTTTTTTTCTATAGAGAGGCTTTTTAAATTGATGTAATCCCACCTGGCCATTTTTCCTTTGGTTTCCTGTGCTTTTTATTCCTATCTAAAAAAAAAAAATTATCATTGTCTAGATCAATGTCATGGAGTTTTTACACATAAGTTTTCTTCTAGTAACGTTATAGTTTCTGGTCTTATATTTGAGTCTTGGACCATTTTAAGTTGATTTTGGTACACAGGGTGATGTAAGGATCCAGTTTCACTCTTCTGCATACATCATAGTGCCTTATTCATCCTTTACAAGGAAAGCGGCTCCGGCTTTTGCAGCAACATAGCTGCACATGGAAGACATCGAGTTACATGAAAGGAGCCAGGCACATGGAGCATATCGGCTGAGCAATGTGCAGGATCTAAACATTCAACTCACCAAAGTGGGTAGTAGGATGATAGTTCCAAGAAGCTCAAGGTGGAAAGAGGGAAAATAGAAGTTGCTATTCAAAGAGTACAAAGTTTCAAAAAGGCAGAAGGAGTAAGTTCTGAGACCTACTACCCAATAGGTCGACCATTACCAATAACAGCGTATTTTAAATTTCAAAATAACTAGAGAAATAAATTTCAAATGTCTCACTCCAAAAAACAATAAGCAATTGATCCAGTGGCCAAGCCTGCAGCAGGTGACTTTTTGGTGGCACCGACAGATCCAAATTCTACACTTGATCTTAGCCAAAAGGCCGAGAAGCAATGACAGATCCAAATTCTAACAAGCAAAGGTCTAACAAAAATGTCCCAGACTTAAAGAAAATAACATATCCAAAGGTATGATCCTATAGGAGGCTTAATAAATAATGGCCTCTGATAAGGTCAGTGAGACACCCTCAGGTGAGGGTTTATCCTGAGATCCTGTACCTCAGATTGTAGAAGCTTTGTCAGTGTCAGCCATGTGGATGAGTCACAGCCATTGCTTGGCCAATGTGCTCTCTGTGAAAGCCTGAGAGAATATTTTCTCTCCATGTGACTCTCC